CAAGAAAAGAATGCTGTTTGTCTGTATTTTACGAAATAACAAAAACAAAAAATGATTTGCGACACGTAACAAGTTGTGCACGCAGAGAGATGGGAATTTCACTCTATCCTGTTGGCAAACTGGGCTTATTAGCCGGCGGATTTTGCTATATAAAATTCCGTCCCAAGCTGACTTGGGCTTAATACGCAGCTTAATACGTGGGCTTAATAACCGGCGACTACTGTATATGACTTCGCACGCAGAAACGGGGCTTTGGGCTCGCTTAGCGCGCAGATAACGAAACAGGTCAGTATGAACGGAATACTTGGATGACGACAAGCAATTTTTAGACATCGCGACCGTGTAGAATATGTTCGGGGCAAATAGAAGTTAGAAAAGCTGAAAATTTGTCGGTGCGAGCAGCTGAGAAGGAAGTCTCGACTAAAGTATTCTAAATTTAATTAAGAAACTCGGCTGGTTAAAAGTGTGAGCATTCATCGATCGTTTCTAGGGAAAGCCATTTTCAGCGACGAACGTGGAAGAGATTAGAATGACAAAGAACGGCCCAGGGCAGTCTGCAGCCTCATCACGTGTCTTCACGCGGCTCTGCCGATGAAAAGGAGTGTAAGCGATCGAGGAGGGCATGCAACGATCGATAGGATATCAGCGAATCTAAACTTTGCGCGGAACGCGGTGTCAGCTCATATGGATGATTGTTAAGGTAATTGCTACTGGTCGCATTCCCAAATCAGCACAACACACCTGCGGGAGCAGGAAAACCTAACCCACAAGGAAAAATGGCCGAAGCAAATCTAGATTTTAATTAGGAGTTAAAGGGAAGGAAAAAACGAGCGCACATAAGCATCTACTTAGGTCTTCGACTCATGAAAGGACTGAGTCCAGACGAGAACCGCGCACAAACGAACACAACGGAACGGAAGCAGGTGGTTACTCAGTCTTTAACACTTTGCTTGGATGCCCGAACTACGAAACCAACTGAAACACTTGGTGTTGAATACTTCATGTCAGATTACAGCGTTGTAGGTGTCGGCTAGCAATCACAGTCAGCATGTTTGCTCGGCCACATTACATTTTTTTGGAATTTACTGATCTGAAGGCAGTCATTTCCAGAAGCATGAAAACTCCAGCATAAAAATGCCTGAAGAGGCGGGGATAAAAAGACAGGTTACTGTCAAAATAAAAAACGTACCCGCCCGTAAGCTCTAGCATGACAACAACCAACGAAATGGTCATTCGAGTGACGCCGCCGAGGGTTGCAGCTGCTCCCACGAGAGCGTACAGGCCGGGGTTTATGCAGGGATGACTGGACTTGCACATACGCTGCACAAGGGGATGGTGAGCATGGAAGACAACCAGCTGTTCTACGCCCACCCCAAGCATTCGCCCCATCACGGCTCCTACCTGGAAGGAAAGGTGTTAGCAGTATTTATTAAAAGAGGTTGCATGCGGATAAAAATTCTAAGGAGATGGTTGGGGAAAAGGAAGAAGCTAGTACAAAATGCAGGACAAAGAGCGAAGCTCTAGGGTTTACAGAAGAAAATCAGTGAGCAAAGACCCCTCATTTCAAAGGCACGCATCAACGTCGGTCCAAAATGGAGGAGATAGGATATGAAGAGGTTGTTTCTGTCACCCTTTAATAAGGTTCATGGTTAGAAGTGCTGCTATACGAAAAAGCCTACAGGAATGACGAAGGTTTGACCCAGAACTGGAAAGAAATTTTCATAAGAGGTGCCTCCGCAGTTACGGAAATGAAACTAACGGTGCTAGGAGAGGGATATCGGGCGATTGCTTAAGGGAAAGCAGGACAATGTTCTAGCGCTACTA